ATCTGTATCTGTCATAAGAAATCTTTTGTTCTTAAATTTTGACATATAATTATAGTGGAAATCATACATTATTACTTTACTTATATCCAAAATTGTCATTCCTAAATATATAGGTTTATTAAACTTTACAACTAATTTATTTAAATGTATAGCATGTAAATTGTTATCAAACTTTTTGCTACAGTCAAACCTTGGATTAGTGACATATTTTGTTAATAGTGACTCATCCTTGAGATAAATGTCACGAAACTTTCGTTGATTCATAATTGTTCGACCAAAGAGACTATTATTTAACAATTTGTAAAAGTCTTTTTCGAAATCATTTTTAGCCCATTTTCGTTTTTCAATATTAAAATTAATATAGGGCGCAAGCCATTTAGACTGTCTAAATTTTAAAATTCTGTGGTATTTTGTAACAATCAAACCCAATTCCTCATATTTTTGTAATGCTTTGTAATGTAAAATATATTTAGTTTTGTCATTTAAATTAGGTATTAATTTGCCATTCATTTTCTCTGGTGCTAATGGATAGTCATTATGTAAATCATGTAAGCTTTTATCATATTTTAAATCAACTTCTAAAATGTATCCAAACTCATCATTTTGATTATATTTGTAGTCTATCTCATTTGTCCAACGAAATCCATCCACGGGCAGTGGCTCACACATTGCTGTAGAGTATAGCGAGTTACAGTCTAAATATATTAAATACACACTCTCTTGATTGGGGTCATAGTGTTCACCCATATATCTATTATTGGCTTTAGCGTAACGTGTGGAAATCATACTGACTCCTCCTCTAATCGCACTTTCTATGAACAAATGCATGTCAATATCTTGAAATAGTTGTAATTTTATACCAGTCATTCTAAGACAGGCCTCCCATGTTAATCCAGGAAGTGAATACATATGTACGGGGTCCAGTTTGTAATCCTTTAAACACAGGTCTCTAAATGTCTCAAACACATCAGCCAGTAGCAATACATCTGTTTTAAGATATAAATCATGATATTCTTGTAAATTATTTATATTAAAATGGGTCCAGACATTTTTAGCATGTTCGTATTCGTTGGAAGAGATATGTTCTTTAGTTAAAGTACTGTAAAATTTTTCAATTGGAGGTAGAGACTCTGCGAACTTATCTGGTCCCGTCATATATTCATATGGAAATACGCCTTTACGTTGTAGTAGTGGATTGTCTATGAATCTAAATGTATTTAAATTGGAAGCTAATTTGTATAATGGAAGGGACAGAAAGTTATAGGAATCTAAAAATATCAAATCATCAACAGAGAATGATATATATTTTTCCATATCTTTAGCTATACAATTTAATTTATGTTTATTAAACTTTCCCAAGTGTTGCATTATTAAATGTCCATCGTAATTTTTCAAGTTATGGAAGAATATTGGGATTTTCTTTGTTACTTTATAGTTTAAATTACAATCATTGTGGGCAGCTCCACGGTATTGCCCAGAGGAATGGCAATGATCTCTCACCCTATCAAAATATAGGGGCTTTTCACAAATGTGACAGTGTGTTGAGTTTTGGAAAGATACCTCTTGCTCAGGAGTCATTACTAGGGGAATGTATATTGCCATTTGATTTTTAATATAATCATAAGTCTCAAATAGCCTTTCGAAAAACACATCCATAACATTTATACCACTGTACAACTCTTCAGAAATAATTTTTGAATCTTTTACTACGACAAATGCAAAACCCGATGGAATATGTATATTGGAGTTTATAAAGCATTCAAAATCAGCATAAATTACATATGGAGCTTTAATTTGATATTTATAATTTTTAAATTGTAATATATCTTGTTTAGACATTTCCACTCTTTGCGCATCAAAATTCTTACAATATGTTATATGACGTTCTAATTTATCATTGGTGTAAAAATGTTGCAAACACAGCTTGCAAAAATGCTTCTTATTGTTATCTTTTGTACAATGGAACATTAACTTATCAAAATCACGAATTAAACAATAATGTGATTTACGACCTTCTTGTAATAATAATAAATCTACATGGGTATTACTATTCAGTTTGGTTGTTCTTAATGGATATACACATTTCTGGTCTTCAACTCCAAATACATTAACACTTATATTATTTTGTGTTTCAAATTTATCAATATCAGATATTGTTACGGGATATTTTATATTTGTCATATTTAACTGACTTTCATAGGGTACATAATTAGAGACTCTATTAGCATTTTCATTGATACAATTCCTTGGATATAAAGCTGCTAATATCGACCAAAGGAAACATTTATTGTCAAAATTTCTTATATTTAGAACTGCATGTTTTGATTGAATACTCTCTGGTGTGGGGATATATGACTTTGGAGTTAGGGGTTTATACTTGTAAACATGCAGCTGCCAATACTTAGTATGGTCATATATCCAACCACTGCCTTGGGCTTGATATTTGTGAATGGATGCATCAATCTTTAAAAGTGCATTTTTAATTTGAGGCTTTAAATCTCTTTTCTCAATAATTAAGGTAGTAAGACTTCTAAAATCCACTATACATTCTTTTTCATTAACTAATTTTCCATTTTTATCCATTGAATATTTTATAAATTTAATTCTCCTAACTAAAGTCCATTTTATTGGCAGAGGACAAGACTTGAGAGCATTTTCAAGTTCAGCTCTAATTGATTCACCAACAAATTTTATCATTGTGTATGGACAATTGTTGCAAGAATTGATATGTCTTCTAAAATGGCCAACAACATTTTTCTTACAAAAATTACAAGTCTTGTGACTTTGTAATATATGTGATTTTAAAGCCACATTATTATCACAGATTAAATCACAAACCTTGCACAGTTTCACATTCATTTGATGAATTACCTTGTAGTGGCGAATCAGGTTACTTTTGGTGGAGAGCGACACGGAGCAGTGTTGACATGACGGCTTCATGTTTAGGAATGAGGACTTGGGCTGATGTCACCTCTATTTATAGATTTTCCGAAAATTTCAAAAATTTTAACCAGAAATTGTGAAATTTTCAAAATTTTTAACCAGGAATTGTGAAATTTTCAAATTTTTTAACTAAAAATTAAGAAGTTTTTACATAAATTTCAAAATTTTTAATTAGAAATTACTTCAACGGGAGGTCACCCACTCAAGACTTAATCAGTATTTGCCACTAGAGACGAGAAGACTGACCATGAGTCAGGAGCGCGCACGAGTTCGCGTACAAACCTCGATCGATTTTGAGAATATATATGAGAATGGATATGGATTTGAAATAGTAATGGAGTTGTACAATGGTATTGAACATTTATATAGGCTTGTATAGGCCGAGAGCTGGATTTTTAAAAAAGTGGTCAAAAAAAGCTCACCATGTTATTCTTATGGGGAAAACATGCCTAAAGTGATGTCATATTGCTAGTTCGCCACTACTCTACATTTACACTTGTAAGGGTCAATAAATATAAGAAATAGCTTTTTTAGCTTAATATCGAATATATTTATGGGGAATAAGTAAGAAATAAGGTTTGACAATTTTATAGGGATATTTAGGCAAAAGATCAGGATTTTTGGTTTTAGTGGCCAAAAAATGATCCCATGTTATTTCTTATGGGAAAACATGCCCCAAGTGACTTTAAACCCGTATATTATATCTACTTTAGTGCGTGTTGTGTATTTGTGTGTGTGTGTGTATTGCTCAATTCTTGGTTATATCATATAAACTCATATGCATGCTGTTGCTATATGTAATATAAATGTTTGGAACCAAATATTCTTGGAGAAGGATATCAGTGTCAATGGGATAAGAAGAACATCCTGGGCTGAATATGGGATTTATAACTTGTATCTGTGAGCTCGTTTTGCAGCAAATATCAATACTTCCATCTTCTGTGGTAGCAACGCTGTCACATATTCAAAAATGAGTTTTGCCAGTTGTTAAATCATAAATTGTTAAAAATTGTTAAAAGCCAAAGGTTTTAGCGAATTTCCCTATAGGGAAGTAGCTATTACCGTAGGTCTCATGGTAAGACTTAGGCCCAGGACCGATTTACTTTTTCATTTTAATGTCCCCAGAGGCCAAAAACACCATTCGTTCAAATTTTTATATATGTATATATATATATATATATATATATATATATGCGTCCGTTAGAACAATAACTCAAGAAAAAATAATCCAATTTTGATTAAATTTAATATAAACGTGTTAACCTACGTTTATTCGAACGATTTCGCGAACCAGCATGATCGGATTACGGGAACGGGTGTTTATGGGGGGTTTTATGGGGTAAAAGTTACGTTTTCCCATTTTTCGCCCTAAAAACAAACAAATTTGCAAGTTTTTACCAAACCATATTGTAGAGCTTAAAAAACTAATAATTTAGTAGGCCTATATTGACACGTTACTATGCGCCTAATGGTTACGGAGAAAATTTAAAAATATTTTAAATAATTTAAAATACCTATGTTATTCTTATAGAGAATAAGTAGGCTTACACTGTTGTAGTTTGCTTGTTTATGAACATATTTTAATCAAATTTGGAAAATGCATTCATATCTTACTAAACGAAAACACTTTTCTACCCTCCCTATTGCAGCAAACCTAAGTTGTCTGTACACTAATGCTATTTAAATAATTATTAGGGATTAGGATTAGGGATTAGGGATTAGGGAATAAATGTGATATTTTTGAGGAGACATTGTAATATACATCCAACCAGGCAAATAGAAATTCGCTTAGTCTGCAGGTTTGCTGCGGTGGGGGTATTTACATTTCCACCAAAATTTTCCGCTAAAATCGTTGATAACGTAATAAACTAATCGTCCATAAAACCTAAATAAAAATTAAAACATTTACTGTATCCTTCAAAAGACAAAAGCCTAATCGAACCGCATCCACATCCTTATAAAGGACAAAAGCGTGATTAGCCTGTGGGAGGTGGGGGCAACAATGGCCACCCCCACCGATGGGTCGCAACTCCCAAATACGCTCAGTCGCGCGTCGTCCTCCCAGACGGATGGACCTGGACGAGATCCTCCCGGATGTAGGACAGTTTGGGGCATACCAAAAGCTGTTGTTGTACTTTGTACTATTACCTTGTGTGTTGCCATGTGGCTTCCACGCGTACAATCAGCTGTTTATGGCCGCGGCTCCCCAGCACTGGTGTCGTGTCCCGGAGTTAGACCATTTGGACCCTTTCGTCGCCCGGAACCTCAGGTATTAAGCGTATTTTTGTCCTTGTGAATATAAATATTATACTCCTCATTGAATTAATGATTAAACAATTAGGTGCTTTATTCGTTATAATACCTCCAATATAATCCTATCAGGTTGAAATGTACCATCTAAAAATATATCATGTTTAGCGTCTCTTCCTTTTAGATTGGAGCCAAAGTATAACCTAGACCTTCAATCGTGTATTGTTAGAGACCTACACAGTTACAGCCTACAGTGTTACAGTCTATGGTAGTAATGGACAATTGTACAACAAGGATATTAGTAAAACATTTTTCTTTTGGTTATTTAAGAGCTCAACAATTATCATTTGCATTACTGTTACCACGTCAAAAGATTCGTTTAAAGAGGTTGGAGCATCTTATAGCCATGAATTTCCCCACATATGTTGGTAGAACGTATTATATATATATATATGCTAGGAAGGGGTGGGCTCATACATGGTTTTCTGAGGTAACACCGGAACGCAAAACCACACCATCGTTAAATTGTTGTCACGGACAGCTATGCTACTGAGTAACTCACCCACTCATAGCAAAGGCTTGGAATTGCATTTATATCCTTCTCACTGTTTATTTATTTGTTGTGTACAAATTTACTATATTGTGCATTCCTATAAAAATTATTTTATTTTTGTTGGTTATTCATTTTTGTTTACTTTGTGTTAAACTAAAACAGTAAATTAAATTTAAAGGAGGATTTTATGTTGTATTTTTATATAAACATAGGTATATATATATATTTCAAACATGTAGTGAAATAATAGTAAAAAAAAAATTTTATGATATTTTTATTTTACACTAAGAGTTTATTATCTCACATTGCACCTGTAAGACTTTACATTTAAAACATTATACACTTATTTCTAATTTACAATAACTGAGAATATTTCCAGAGAAATACCAACGGAATATATTCATTGTGGATAGGAATATTCAATGGTGAAGCTCTAAATCTCCAATATCAATAAGGTTGCTACTATATATAATTATGATGTCCCCCATGCAGTTGGCAGATCCTTAGCTAACATCGTTTACACTCTATTATTGATACTACAGTATTATAGTAAGAAATTATACTATTATCCAATAATGTGTCACCATAAAATCAGTGTTATTATTTTAACTTGCATACAGTTAAAATAATATTATTATTCCCAATGTTGGGGTGATATTTATTTTAATTACAGCTGCCTAATGTGTTACCAGCTATGGTCATGGGATCCTTTCTTGTGAAATCAAAGCCACATGCATGTTTTGGCTTCATACAGAGTTTATGGCGATGGTCGATGGGTATTTGCATCCAGTATTTTTGGGGACACAAAAGATACGCTTTTAAAATATAAGAGAGAACAAATTTCATATTTTACTTCATTTTCGTGTTGTGAGGCTCTTTTCCCTGAATATAAGATAATTGTTATCGTTTTCTGTATAAATACAACTTTATGGTACTAAAATAATGAATCATGCAAATTAATGAATGAAATATGTTTCCCTACTTAGTAGCTAAAATTAATTACAAGCACATATCACGCATTGCACAAAAAATATATAGTTGAAATAAACTGTTCGTGATGTTTGAGATATAATTCACTAACGATAAATAGTATTATCATAAATAGTAAATACAATCCGTATAACACTACCCTGACTCTGTTTGTAAATTGCTTTACTAAGGCAATCTTTTTAGTCAAGGCATACTTTTAAACACCCACATTTTTTGTCAGCTTGTGTAAATTTTATATTATAACAATAACTAAATGTCCTGTCCATAAGTACATATAAATAATATTTTGTATATGGTAGTCACTTTGTTTCCTTGGATGATCATCAATAATAACAGAACGTTGTATTTAACAAAATTATAACATCTTCAGTGTGAATTTACATATCAGAAACCTTGCATTATTTCTGAAATAATGCATAATAACTTTAGTTTCACTCTACTCTGTGTGGGAAAAAAGAAATGATAAACTATTATGTGTTACAAGAAAACCATTTCTAGCAAAGTAAAAATTGTTATTACTGAAGGTTTTTTTATGGTTAACACCTAGCATGGAAACATTTCACTACGGATAATTGTACTCACTTAAGTTCTTTGGAACTGAGAGAATGCCTTGAAACTACACAACAGCAAACCAATAACGACATTCTTGTTCGACAAACTTATGTCAAATTAAATATATTTTCATCTTGTTACATAACTCAGTTTCACAAACCAGTAAAACTGCATGGCGGGAATATATTTCCCCCCCCCCCCCCCTAAAATGAATTTGGGACCTAATTACCATATGAAGAGATAGTATTTAATAAATATTTTACTAACAGATATTTCACACTAATACAATGGCGTTAGGTGATTGTAATATTTTAGAAGAAAATATAATTTTTGGACTTTTTAAAATATATTTTATACGCTAATAGGTTTCTGAACTTGAAGGTTGTTTTTCTTGTCAAAATAAAAATAAATTAAAATTAGAAATTGTATAACTGTTTGTGCAGTTTAAAACATAATTATTTTTTACTATCTGTTACCCTCGGGCTTCACCCCGTTTTAGTTCATAAGTATTGATACAATTATTGATTGGTTAAGTTAAGCTGAAATAAACAAAACTGAATACAGAAATACAAACAAATAATTACACCTGATTTTAATAAGTAAATAAATTAAAAAAACAACATACAAATAAGGACAGCTGAGGTATTTTTTTTACATTAGGTATAAAAGTATAATAAAGATATAATAAAGGTAAGATATAAAAGGGAAAGTTCCCTTTGGAAAGCAATTGCCTTAAAGGGTGATTTATGAAATAATGGATAGTTTTGCGCAAGGTTTCTCGTCATGACGAACATTTTAAGTATATGGTTTATGGGGGTGTGACTTGTAGTTTCATGGGTACTTTTGGCTTTATATATAGATTTTTGTTTGCGTTTCTATAAATTTTAGCACTTGGATCAAAATGATCGAAAAACAAAATAGTAAGAAGATATTTTTTTTTATAATGTTCATAAATATGAGTTTCCTACAATTCAATTTTAAATGGAGAAGCTTGACTTTAAATAACAAAAATATGATCATTTCTTTTATTCATATCATATCTGATATACAAAATAAGAATTATATAAACAAAACAGACCCTTTTAACCCTCCCTGTAGCGCAAACTTAAGTACTCATAAAATTTGATGATGTTTAAATAGGAAATCAATGTGACAATTTTAAGAGAATATTTTAATGAATATCAAGACAGGTAAATTTAAATTAGCTTAGTCTGCATGTTTGCTGCAGTGGGGGTATTTTTAATTTAAAACCCAGTGGTAAATTATAGTCATATTATAAATAGTCTAAGCCACTGGGGAAAAATCATCAAGCTAAATGTATTAGGAGCTTTCATCATATTATAAATGATGTATTTCATTTTTTTTTTTTTTAAACCACCAATTTCTGAGAACACTACTTATCTTTGATTTTACAGTTACTTTGGTTGCACGCAAAACTAGCTCTCATGTAAGGAAACAAAGGATATCAATTGTTAAACAGCAAACTTTTTTAGGTCTATTTATGCTTATGAAAATAATATCTAAAATGGCATTGAGATAACTATGTTTTAGACAAATATTACTGTGAAACTTATTAGTCAATGATATTACATATTTTACTATTTATAGTTTACTGGTTTTAATAACTCATGGTTCTTTTTACTAGGTAAATCTACAGCTCAAGTGGTTTAAATCTGTAACATAAATAGTCATAAAGTGTACTTCCATTCATTTAAGTGTTACTCAAATATAAATTTAATTTTTATCCAAAGAAGTAAATGGAGTATTGTTATGTGTAGTATTGAAAACCCTTACTTTGGCAACAAACAAGAAATCGAGAGAGATATCAGTCGTTTCCAAACTTGACAGTAATTCCCTATGAGTTATTATATACTTTTTTAGTAGAGTGGCTTATAAAGCACAATATTATGTTACATTTTTAAGCATCTTTATTGTGTTTTGTAATGTTTCTTTTTTCTTCTTACTTTCGTAGAACCATAGATTAAATGAGTAGACATGTCTAAGATGTAAGTCCAAATTATTTACATAATTACCGTCACAGTTTAACGAAATATGTCAAGTTAGTACATTGTTATTGAGCTGTGATGGGAATTACGTAGGTAATTTAGTCTGACACTATGTCCAACATCTTGGAGGCTAGAAACATGGATTGTAAGTAAATTTCCATCGAAAAAATCACCTAGGCAACAGTGACAGAAAAACATATAAACAAACAAACCATTCACATTATTGACAGAGTGGTACAAGCATACCATTGAGATACTAACTAGCCTGTGTTTATTGGTATATAGTACTTAAACTAATCATAATTTCATAATAATTATGAAACTATTCATCGCTTTTACTGAGGCTTTTACTTCTAATACGAGTAAACTATTTACGTACGATGATCCCACTGTGAACATACCATCCTTACAAAAAATCTTACCTACCTACTGAATAGTTTGTTGTGTTTGGAAAGGATACACGAGAGAGATCGAGAAATGCAAGGTACAATGCAATGAAACCTAGATTGTAATGCAGTATAAATTCTTATATACTAATTAGTTTGAGAAACGCGTTAGCTAATTATTTTAAGTGACTTAATAATATGAATAGACTATGAAAATGGTCCATATATCTCGGAGAATTGTTCTTCTTTTACAATTGCTGCTTGCTGTATTTTTAATAAAAAAATCTCGTTTAAACATTCTATGACGAAAAACATATTGGTAGTACAATTTTCTGTAATAATAAAATGATTATACTAAATTCCGTTTAAACAGTGAATTTAGTATATTTTTTAGAATAAGTTGAAAATATAGTTTTCATTGTAAGATAATAAATGAACATTTATAGCCTTAAAAATGAAATAGTGTATAGGCCTACATCTGTTATGAAACTGTTACCGTGTTTAAATCATTATGGAAATTCAATTAAAAAAA